GGTTGGGTACATGATTCAAGTCTAGACTGTTCATATGTCCTGGCAGCTTGTAGTATTAAACAACAATTTCAAACAGTTCAATTAACACTTTTCTTCATTTTCTGTTCCTACAAATATGGACAAATGAGTCCTATTTTTTAATGGGTGTTTATGCTAAGAGCTTTCAGCTTGTAAGTGTGCCCTATGGTCCTATAAAAATTTCACCATTTAACACATGCAAATTTAGTGAGATTCACAGATTTAATATTAAGCACATACTTAATTTTTTTACTAGGTATAGCTTCTCACCTCCTTGCCAGCTGGAGATCTTGGAGATTATGCTTTTTTTCTCCTATATGTTCAATCCCATGTAGGGAAGGCATAAAATCAGCGCAGGCTGTGACTCTCACAGGCGACCAGAGCTCTGCAGGATTCACTGCAGCTGACCCAGCACTTTGGCTGCTTTGGGTACCTCTCAATGTCCAAGCCCAGGGGCATGGGGACAGTCCCTTGCCTTTACATGATATAATTTGCCATATTCTTTCAAGGGCAAAGTATAAGGTATATATCACAGTATTTTTGAGAGTGCTGCAGAAAATTAAAATATCATTTGAAGAGGCAGGTGAGAATAGCTTGTTGGGATCAGGCATCTCTTCACTGTTACAGGTCTGTCTTTGGGACAAAGTTGGGTGACTTTGGAATGGAAACATGAAGCAATGCCAGTCTGCAGATGTTAAATGCTGCCATCAGCCACTGGCTCACAGTGAGAGCTTTGGGGAGAGATTGGTTCAGTTCTTACTTGTAGTAGATATTTTTGTTCTTGACGAAGGAGAGGAATGATGAGGGGGACTTCATTGCTACTAGAAGGTTAATTAATTACTTTATCATACTATATTATTTTATATTATATTATACCAGCTTACATTACATTTAAATTGAATTTGCTGAGTACTCAATTGCACACACACAAGTGCATTTTACTTTACAGCATCTCATGACTGTTACCTGACAGTCCTGATGTTGGGTTTGTTGTTGTTGTTGGAAAGGTTCCTGAGGTATTAAAAAGTCTTTTTTTCCAGCCCCACACTCAAAGAAGAAGATGGGATTCCTCGGCTCTGGTTCTCAAGGTTGTTGATTTTCTCTTGTCTAATACATTCTTTTTCAGACCTGCTGAGGTCTGTCCAGAAGATAGGGTTGAGGCACACTCACCACCCTCAAGTTTTTATGCTAAAAACTATGAGTACTTTAGTTACAATAGTTTTCCAATACCTATCACCTATGTTAGACAGTGAGCCTCCACCCTAAACCAATCTAAAAGTGTCACCATCACAGCAGAAGATGGAGGCCAAGAAGAAAGACAGGACATGCCCAGATTCCTCCATCTTGCCTCTTGAACCCCTATTCTAAAAACCCCAAAATTCTACTTTTTCGCCCTGTGTCAAATTCACTATCATTCTATTCAAACCCTTGTGGCTTGTAAATCTTCACACAAAATTGGTAACTTTTTCCATGGGCTAAGATCGATGGCACAGGTGTCTTTGACTCCGTGCCAAAGTCTCTGAGCCCCTGCCAGGGTCTGGAGTCCTCCAGGGCAGCCAGAGGAATGTCCTGGGTTCTGACATCCTGACACACACACACTTGGATTCAACTGGTCAGTGAATCAAAACACACACACTGGAATTTAATTAATATTTTAGGTAAGAAATTTTCCACAATGCATTCCACCTGTGAACAAAACAAGAGCAGTAAATGAGATAAGAATTGTTTTGGTTTTTTTTTTTTTTTTTCTCTGAGGTTCAGAGAATGTAAAACCCAGAAATACTCTTGAAAAGAATTGTGCCTTGTGTGACGGTGTTCACAGGGGTCTTAGGATGAGGGATGCTTTTTTTTCTCTGCAAAGAGAAACGTAGCAACACTTCCTCATCCTGCTGCAGCATTTCCGAGTGTGGGGGTGCCAGGGGCCGAAGGGAGATCCCAGCCCCAGTGTGGGTGGGTGGGAATGGTCCCAGGTCTGGACTAGAACCCCAGCTGTGGAAAGGGGCTGGTGTTGTGCTGCTCTCCCTCCCTGCAATGGTTAAACCAGCGGAGTGGGAGCGCAGGGAGCGCAGAGCCCGGGCTGTGCGGGGAACTCCCGAGCTGATCCCCACTATCTGCAGAGAATGCACTGCAGCTCTCTCCGACTTATTTTTAGGCACCAAGCTTCCTAGTCTTTAAGGGAAAAGAGAGGGGAGTAAAAATAGGCCAATTAGTGTAATTTCTAAAAAAAATTCCTTAAAGATCTTGAGCGATTGCAAAGGTGACTTTAAAAATTTAAGAGGGATGGAAAACAAATGGGCTGGGTAGGAAATTTGGGGCCTCTAAGAAGATCGCTTAGCCAATAAATTGCCTTTTTTTCGAGGATCTTTGAAGTGTCCTCCCAGGAGGGACTGTCTTAAAGCTAGCTTTAGTTAGTAGCATTGGCTTGTTAATGGCTTCCGAATGTACCTTCCCTATTTTCTAATCTTATTGCAGCCTCTTCCCTTCCCTAATTGTTTTGTTATTTTTTCACTTTGTGTTTGAAGAGCAAACTTAAAACTGTGAAAAGTGGGAGTTTTGTGTAAACACAAGTAGATAAGTGACATAATTTCAGGCTTGCTGTGATCTGTTCCCTGTTTGTCACACATGTTCGTTTGTCTGCAGCATTGTGAATTTTAGGAAAAGATTTCAGTCCTGCTTGGAGATCTTGCCATCAATTCGTTGGACATCTGGTTTCAATTTACAATGTATCTGCCTGAGGGTACCTAGCACCCCCAGAGTAAATAATAATAATAATGTTAATAATAATAACAATATCTATAATATAGTAATAATAGATGTAAATGAAGTACATGTTCTTGTGTTTCCAATGCGGGAGAAAACAAATTAGAAAATGAATTGCCTGGAGGTTTGCATTTACATTGCACGGATGGTTTACATTTTAAGCAACATGAAAACAGAGTGCCTTCAAGGAACACCATGAATATTTTGGGAAGATTTATTTAAACCAAAGATTTGAGGAAATGTTAAAACCAGATGAATTCTATACACAATAACAGTGCTAGATCAGGGAATTTGGTCCAGCACCAACCGTGGGTCTAAGTATATAAGGAAAATATGTATTTCAAATCAGGGATGTGTAAATGTCTGCAAGCCAACAGGAAAGTAAAATGTTTTCTGAAGCTAAGTGCAGATATTCACCTGTGAAGTTTAAAAGAAGATGGCTCAATGGAATTGCATGTGTGGGGGAATTTTTAGAGTCTCTAGTATTACCACTTGAGTCTGTCTTGGAAAAAACAAAATCTTTCCCAGAAAAATATCAATTTGAATAAAGCTTTCAAAGAAAGTGAGAAAGACAAATTAGTGATGGCGCCAGTGATCACTAACTCGCTCACATTTTGTAATAATAATCTTTACTTTTATTCTAAAAAAGAGAGGCAGGTTTAAGACAGACTCCACAAGTCTGTTGACTGCATCTTTCACCCAGCTGTCAGAAGTTCAGGTTCAAGGTGCCCCTCAAAAGCAAACACAATCACAACTTGAGCCTCCGGGTCTCATCTCCTGGGACCTGACTCTCCAGCTATTAAATATTCATTCAGCTGTGTGTTTTTCTTCCACTTGTTTTTCAAGGAGAACTTCAGGGGGGTCTCAAGGTCTTCATGCAGACCTTGATGCAGAAACCTAACAGGTAAAATTCCCATTTCACAGCAAAACCGAGAGCAGTGGAAACTGCAATAGAAACAATTCCAATGCTGTAGGTCACTGGAAAACACTGGAAGGAGGAGAACAAAAAATTTGGTGAAGAACAAATGCCTTTGTGTGTCCTGGCTTGGCTGGTTGAGCATTGCCTTAGAAGATGGTCAGGGAAAGGAATATTTGGGTGAGAGGAGGTGCTGGTCCTCGGAACAGCCCCTCTGCTGCAGGACATGAGGTGGTACACAGTATGAGACCTTAAACGATTTGGATTTTAAGGAATTTACGGCTGGATATGTATGCATGTGAAAGGGAAGGAAAAAAAATACATAGTTTATTTCTGTAGAAATATACTAAAGGAAAGATTCAGGGAAGGAAATCAACATGGAATATGTTTAAGGGAAAACTGACAGAACCATGGATAGTGTTCACATTTCACTACCAAATGCAATTACAGAGCAGGAAAGCTACCAGGGAAGAAACAGTCAAGATCCAAGCTGCAACCATCTATTCCACCAACAGAAAATATGATTTGAAAATTAAAATTTTCCCCAAGTGAAGTGAAGAAGGAAAAGTTTCTGGAAGGCGGGAATAGATGGCTCCATGTCTGAGAACTGCAAGAAATTGGGAAAACAAGTAACCAGAGGCTGAAATTAAATATTTCATAACAAAATGTGCCTCATAACAAAATGAAAACATGAATAAACATAGAAGAGGAATGGGAACCAAAATGGCATTTAGTGTTATTTTCCAACAAATTGAAAGATTAATACCTACATTACCATGTACCTGGCACATGTCATCAAGTTTAGACAGCATCAGAGACAAAAGACCTGGAAGCAGAGGGCATGAACAACAGTAAAAATAAAAAATAGCTCTGATTTAGTCAAATATTTACTTTGTTTTAGGGAAATTTAGATCAAACATTAATACTCCTGGAAATGTAACTTGAAATAGATGTGCACTAAGTGGATATAGAATATATGGCCAGGTAGCTCGTGGTGGCCTTTATACTATATATAGTATAAACTATATTTATATAGTATATATAGTATATATACTATATAGATATTGTTTATACTATATATATATTATATATATAGTATGTATATATATACACTATATAGTATATATATATACACTACATATATACTATGCATATACTATGTACATAATATATATAGTATATATTATAAATATACCATATACTGGATATAATATAATGGCCAGGTTAAACAGACAACAAAAGTTATGAAGATTATAGTGGCACTCTGAAGGACTTTATCTCCAAGAAAAGCACAGGAGGAAATAGATTCAAATAAATCTGTTTTATTCCCCCTTACAAAGACTTAAACAAGAGGAGATGTGGGAAGATCAGTGGATGTTCGTGATACAGACTTTAAAAAGTCATCACAAGACCAAAATAAGGACACCTGTAAGTCTGGATTGCAGTTTTGTGTGTGAGTGGGAACTGTGGAAGAGACAGAGAATGGAGGAGGTTTAAAGTCCCAGTTCTGGACTAGAACCACAATTGTGATAAGGGGCTGGTATTATGCTCATGCTGAAAACTGAAATTAGGCAGCCAGCCTTGGCAGAGGTGAATGAGTGGCTCTGGGTATATCTCACAAAAATGAGGAAATCAGACAGTATTCTGTAACATGAGATCCACTTCTTTACAAAATAATTTACTTTAAAAGGTACAAATTAAACTATGTATTCACTTCTCTGGAATCCAAATTTGCTGTGAACTTCTCGGAAAATGATTTAGGCATCACTATGGACAGCTCAGTAAAGACATCTGCTCAAATTCAATACGTAGCAGCAGTCAAAATTGTAAATTAGATGTTAGGCTGCATTAAGAACTGAATGGCTGTAATACAGGAAATATGGTACCATTTATAAATCTGTGAAACAGACCTGGAGACTCAGAGCTTTCGGTTTGTTCTCTTGATCTCGAACAAAGAAAAAGAAAGAAAAACCAGAAGTCTGAGGTGGCAACAAGGGATCATAAGAGTTACAATGAGGAAACATTTAACATTGGAGTCCTTGGGAAAGAGGATCTAATTTCTAAAGAGGAAAAAATAAGCATGCAGGTAAAGGTAGAAACATATGCTGCGGTGGAAGCTGAAATGGAAATCAGATATTCTGACATTGTTCTTTTGTACAGAACCATTTCTGTGGTATTTGAAACAAGCACAGGCTTTTATAATTCTGCTTGGTCTTCGAGATCTGCTGGAGCTGCTGACATGAGGTCTGGAGTTTCAAATGCTTTTGGCCGTTCAGTGTTTGCAGCGGGAGGTAATGTTTCAGGAAAATTTCGATTCTTCTCACTTTTAACACTTTCCACGTTTCTGGGCACATGTGCAAAAGGCTCATTTGTATAAGTTCAAAAACTCTCTTTAATTAAAAAGCCATCTTTGTGAATGCAAATGAATACATCAAAAACTCTCAGAAGTCCACACAACTAATAATTAATCTAGATTTCAAGGACTCTCTAACACTATTACATCATTAATACCTCCCTTATTCAAGAATGGGTATCCTTCTAGCAATTAAAAGAAAAATTTAGAAGATAATTAGACACAATTCTCATCACAATATTTTACACAGGTATATGATTTTGAAATTAGGTCAAGGGAGGGAGGGAAAATGGTGATTCATTGCAGAGGCTCCAAGAAGCAGAATTACCCCATCATGACTTCTGAGTGATCTGTTTTTCTAAGTTGTCAGTGTAACAAATGACCATTGTTAATAAATTAGGAAGCCAGAGAACTCCTTACAGTGTATGAATAAACTGGGTGCAGTCTGACATGTGTCTTTATCAAAAAAATTGCCAATAACATTTTTGAAAACTTTACCTATTACAAAATCTGCAGCCTGTATATTGCTTATACACCATGGTGATGGGCCATACAGAAAAAAGATGATCACTCCTTCAAATGCACTTGCACAACAGCAGTGACAGAACAAACCTGGGATGCCAAAGCAATTATGCCAAAATACATCAGCCCTTGCACTCCCTGGAATAATAGGGGAAGGGATAGATGAGATTTATTTTAATGGACCAGCAGAGATAATAAAGAATTGCTTAATGTCTTTCTTCACAGATTTAGATCTTTACGATAAGGTTTTTATGAAATGGAATATATAACCCAAATAAAGTGAAACCAGATTTAATGAAATTGCCTGTCAATAGCACATTTACAGGTTTGGGGGGAGTTTCCTTCAGTCTGCTTACACAGCTTTTTGTGATAAGTGTTAATAGTAACTGTACTTGGATAGTTCTCTGAGCAATCAAAAGTTATTTTCTATAACTGATAGTGTGGTCTGGTGGAAGACAATGTCCAATAGCTCTGGCAGGTCTCAGGAGTTCTGATACTCCATTTCTGACACTGGTTTTGTTACTGATTTGCTGTTTGACCTAAGATGTAGCACGTGAGGCAGTATTAAACAGGTGTAAATAGTACCAAGAACACAGAGTTTCTCACAGCTTTAATTAATGTCTATGAAGAGCCTGAAAAAAGCCCTCATGAAGCCTGGAAGGCTTTCTAGATATCCAGAGTATTATTGTTTAAACAGCCTGAAGCTTTAATAGCATTTCTAACAAAGTTGAGTACACATAGATAACAAAATTTAATTTATGTTTTAATAATCAGAAATTTCAAATAAAGTGTTTATAAGATGAATATTTTTATAAGTATACAATCAAATGTGCATAAGTATATATTTACTGTATTTTGCCATTTTATCTGTAAACAGTGCATCAAAATTTTGGAGAAAAAATAATTTCCTGTTATGTATATTCCTCTGCATGGTTGTGCTGCTGAGCATTCAAGATATTTCAGCAGAAACTCGATAGGATGCTTTTTGTGTGAGCAGCTCAAAGATCAGTAGGGCAACCTAGTATGTGACAAGATGAATATTAAATCTGTTAGTGCCGAGTGTCTCATTTCCCAGCACTGAATTGAAACTGTTTCTGATGCTTTTCTGAAGAAATCTTTTAAAATCTCTGTTGAGATCTGGTCTGGATAGGAGCTGAGGCGAGTGAGAGGATTCCCAAGTGATTTACCAGAGCTGAGTCTCTGGCAGTGGCAGAAGCCTCATCCCTGGAAATGTTAAGGGAGAATTTGGACAGGAGTCTGAACAACCTGTTGGAATTACAGATGTCTCTGCTTACAGTGGGGGGCTTGGACTACATGACCTTTAAAGGTCTCTCCAACCCAAACTATTCCATGGTTCTGTTTCCAAACTCTTGGCAAAAATGGATAATTAATGCTCTGAAACCCTTGGCAGCAGAGCCATTCATTTCTTTGAAGAACTAGTGCTGTTCCCCTAAAAAGAATTTCTAAAGTCCTCTACTGTTCTAGGAATCCTTCATTAATCTCTGCTTTCTCTGATATGCCCTCTAATAGTTCCCTGTCAAGTCAGAGGTAAAAAGCTCAACCAACTTTTGTTCCTGATCTTCTGCTCCAGGACCAAACACACACAAACACACACAATTTCTGATGGGTGCATTTTTTGCCTACTTTTGTTTTGAGAGGTTTTCTATTGAAGACCACTAACAGTGAGGAGAATAACTTGTGAGAAAACACTGGGTGTCACACGGGGCAGGTTCTGTTGCTCAGAATCCAGCAGGCATCCAAGCTGTTAGTCTGTATGAGCAAAGAAACAGAAAAAAACAATCAGGCAGGTTTCTGGGAGTTAAAATTGTATTATTATTGTAAAATTATAATACAAGCAGTAGCATGGAACCAAAGAGATGAAACAACAGCAATCTCTATCCAAAATACAGTCAGGTTTTAGGACCTGAAGGAAAAGCAAGCATTAAAGGGGATTTCAGTTGTTCATGAACATTTTTGTGTCTGTTTGAGATGAAGGAGGTATCAGAGCAATGGGAGAAGAGGAAAGCAGCAGACTCAGAAGGATGTTGGAGGACAAGCCAACAGAGTGTGCAGGAGCAGTGCTGGCTCAGTGAGGTGATGAAGAAGTTGGTCTTGGCTGGACAAAATGTAATTGAGGCCCAAGGTGTAACAACTGCCCCTCATTCCAGAGAGCTGAAAAGAAGCACTTGCTTATGAAACTGTAGCAGTCTCCAAATCAGAGCCAAGAAACATGTCATCACCCAAACACCACAGGCAACTGCCTGGCCATTGAGGAATATCTGCTGAAGCGAGGAGGGAGAAGCAGAGGACATGCAGACATGGGGCAGAAGTCCAGAAAGAGAAAGTGAGATTATTGACCAGAGTTCAAGATGTGGGCTGGAAGCATAGGCAAAGGAGGGATCTCCTACTATTTGGTTTTTTTGTGTTCAAGAAGATTAGACTTTATCGGCCTTCAGGAGTATGTATGGAAGACACTCCCGCTGCATTCAGTTTTTCCTTCTCTCTAAAAAACCTATTTTTTTTAAGCCAACTGCTTGAATCCAAAGGATGAACCATGAGCATTATTCAGGGAAACCTATCTGCATGCTCGTCCTTTCTCCTGCTCTTGATTCTAACAAGGCACTCTATGAGACTGAACACAGAGAATGAAGAAATATGAATCAGCATGATACCCCACTGGTATATTATGGAATAACTTCAGACACTCAAGTAAACTTAGACACCCACAAATAGTTATTTCGCATCTTTAAAATCTTCTCTCTCCTTCAAAATTATGAACCTGAGCAAATTGCAGAAAGTTTCCAGTGCAGTCAGTTGCTCATTTTCAGCAGGAAGCAGAATGGTCCAAATGGAAACAAAGTCCATAACCCGATGCTTGCCAAGAGATTTTCTTCCTGCAGGTACAGAGGCAAAGGAAAACCTGTAGAAGACATTGCAGTGATGAAAATCTCATCTCCCTGTTGCTTGTCTGTGCTCCACTCCAGCACCTCAACCTGTGGCATAAGAGATTTAATGAACAGAAACTTTTAGATATCTATCTTTATTTTCTCCTAGGAGTCTGATGGAGTTTGCTGAGAAACTTTGAATGGAGTTCAGCGGGATTTGGATCAGGTACTCAGGCTGAGGAAAAGATCTTGGTGGCTTCAGTGTAGAAGTAGGAGGGTGGTAGTCAGAACAGCCAGGAAATGAAATGGGGTAATGATGCACCTAATAACTTACTGAAAATTCTGCAACAGGGAATAGAGCCAAAATCTCAGTAGAGATGTGAGTCTTTATTTCAAAACAGAGCAAGAAGCCTCTTGGCAAAGGTCCCAAAAGCGAGGTGTGCAGCTGAAAGAATTACTTCCAAACAATTCCACTCCAGAAGTACAGATTGAAAGGAGATTACCATGGCTACCCCCAGGGCATGGCTAACCAGGACTGGTGAGGGAGATCAGACTAGTGAGCTCTCTAAAGGCTGATGTTTCAATAAAATATTGTGTGAGAAGGGCCAGATCCTCAGCTGGGCTTGGCCAGGGCAGCTCTGAGGGAGGACATCAGTGGAGTTGTGTCATTTTATGCCAGGGGAGGACTTGGCCCGTGGAGTGCACGCAGAGATGATTCATGGTTTAATATCAGGTAACAGAAGGCTCTGTCAGAAAGACTTTAAACTAATAAACTGTGATAATCTAATCTTGTTATCTCAAATACAAACCACTTCATCAAGCTCAGATTAAGTTAGTATGGGCTATATCTTCCCAGCCCTTCAGGAGGAAAAATGCAGTAATTTACCATCTGGTAATGTGAGGGTCTCACAGAAAGAACAAAAGTGTCTCCATGTATAAAATTTTTGTATTCTAGAACTTTGGGATAATGACTCTACTGTCAAGAACTATTTGTAGGAAAGTTATAATGAGGGGATATGAAGAAATAGTCATTATTGCTCAGCTCAGAAAGCTTACAGGGTTTGCAAAATAGGGGGGAAGTTTTGCCGAAATCCTGCTATTTTTCAGGCTCTGATAGACTGACATTTCTAATATTGCTTCATTAATTTTTTCATTTTACATCCATTTGTACAAGCTTGAAGTCAATGCCATGAGTCAGTCTATACTTATTTGGGTGAAACCAAAATCCCAAGACACTTGACCTCTTCCTTTGGTGCAATCCTATGTTGCACAAGAATCCCTGTCCTCCCAACTTCAGTAACTAAAATTTGGGGTGACTTTCCCAACTTATTAACTTTCTCACACTATTATTTCTCAGATATTTCTCAGATAGTGAAAGCTTATCTCTTTTATTGTGAGAGTAATTTTTTTGGAAGTCAATCCTAACTCAGCTGCTGGTGGAAAGATTTCTGTTTTGAAGAAAATTCTAACAGTTTATTAAAATGTATTATGTCAAATTCTTTCTGATAAGCCCTGAAATGAGTGAGACAATAGGCATAAAATTGATAAAAGATATCTGGGGAAAGGAGTAAAATAAGATATTCTACAGATTGTTAACAGAAGGTAAAGGGGTTGCAGGGAGATGTAGGTTTTGCTTAGACATAAGGAAAAACTGGTTTAATATTTAACTAAGGTTAACATAATTTTAAAAATCACTCCTCTGCTATTTTGGACTTATTTATATCCAGGTTTGTAAAAATTCAAAGTAGCTGCATTTGACAATGGCTGTTGATGAGACTTTCAGGCAGATGCCATATTCCACAGAAGCTAATGAGTGCCCTTTGCTTGATCTCATTTGGCATTGGGATGCTCCACTTACCTTTTAATCAAAATCTTGCAGTCATAATTGAGCTGTCTTGGTATTGGAAGTATTAAAGGTGTGCCAAGACACTCTTACTAATCCAGGAAGGGACAGTCTTTCCTGAATCCCAGAGACACTTAATGGTTTATGGGACATGACTTTACTCTAGGTGTCATCTTTTAAATAGCAAGTAAAATTAAGGTCTGGCCATTTGTGATTATAAAAGATCATTAATTTCATTAAGAATTGAGGTGCTCAATTCCCTTGCATCTAATTGAATTGTGCTTAAGTTACATTTCTTTGTTTTTCTATTATTTCCTGCAAAAGAGTGATTTGTTCTGATATTTAACTTGGAGTTTAAATGATGAGACATAATATCTGTAAAATGGACAGCCTTAAACCCACATACACATCTTTGACAGCACTTAATTTATAAGTGTTTCTTTAATATCCTTTTTTTGTGATTATGGCTTAATAATGTATCTGTGATATAGGATATATTATGTATATGCACATACATCTCTCACCATATAAGTAACATAAAATTTATCATATGTTCATCACTTATTAAGAATTAGATGAGATAACCAGTGTGGGAACAGTCTTTGCTCCTCACATAGAAAGATGCATCTGTTTTTTCTTTGAAACATCTATGATGTTTATAACATTATCATCAGTTACTGAACATCTGAACTGAAACAAATAGGTCCAAAGTTAAAGGACACCAAGCTGTCAAAAACTTTCTCAGCAAATATTCATGAATATCTAAGAAATTAAAGAAATTTTTCATAAATAACTGATAATTGTAAATAATTATTTTTGATATAATATTTCAGCTTCTGCAATAATAATGAAAAATATCTTTTAGGCACATGAGAAAACTGCTGTGAAGGATTTTTTAAAAGTAATGGACCGCTGCTTCCAGAAAGAAAAACTTATTGAAATTTTTCCGTTTTTGGATTTGTAACGTTTGTGGCAGTGAATGCAGTGACAGAGAATGGACTGGTGCAGCAGCTCCAGCTCCTGTGAGTCACAGGGACCCATTGCATGAGTAGAGGCTTCTCCTTCAGGCCCTCAGTCCCTCAGTTTAGCAACCCGAGGAAAATGTCCTTGATGTTGTATCTAGGGAAGTGTAGACTATATGTAAGTGTGCTCCTACAGGGTGAAAAAAAAACAATAAAAAGTTCTGACAAGGTAAAATCAGAGATAAAATTGGGAGTTCTGATTTGTTCAGTCATTAGATATCTTAATTTTATCATTGAATATGCAAGCATACACTGTTTTTAATTGCATATTAACTGACTGCACTGTCTTTGATTTTTACTTTGACAAGTATATATTATTATCAGAATTAGCAAAACTATTTAGACTTTAGGTTGAATTCTGAAGTGTCATGTGTTGAGATAATTTTTTTATGGTTACCAAGAACTCTTCTGCATTTAAGGTGATTGAATCACTCACAATCAATTTGTTAGCTAAATGTTGAACTCCTTCACCAATACAGACTCTAAGGATTCAAGAGGAGTTTGGATTTAATGATCACTGAATAAAGGCAGGGCACACAGAATTCATCACAGGATTTGTTCTTGTTTGAGGAAATGCACATCTTACTCAAGGATTTCTCCTCAAAGGAATATTGATTGCCAGTGACATTCTTGAAAGCGTTAGTTTAAAAAAAGGAGCTTTTCCTATGATTTTCAAAATAAATATCTGGTTTACTTCAGATACCTGACACCAAGATGGAGATGGTTACAATAAAAAATAGATCTTAGAGAGTGGACTCCAACATGGCTGCTTGCAGTGTTTATAAGTGTATTTGATTTCACATTGCTCTTTTTCTTAAGCCATATCAACAACAGTTTAAGTGCCTGTGCTGATGAGTTCTTCTCAGAGCTCCCTGCCTGATTCCAGCAGGTCCAGGGCTTGCTGCAGCTCCCTCTGTTCACCCTCACTGCTCAGGCAGCTGTGTGCCTCAGTTGCCACAAGGCTGCAATACCTCTCCTAAACATTTTGCTTCTTTTAAAACAATTAATAATGTATTTCTAAGTATCTAACTAGTTGCACTCCTGCAAGGGTTGCGGGTTCAGATTCCTGTTAGACTTCACTTGAAACTTCATCTTCCTCAAATATTCCATTTCCATGCCTGTTTGGATTGTGTCAGGTAGTATTCATAAGCAAATATGATTGTAATTTAGGCCTCCTCTTGTCAATGATGCATGAGAGATTTACAAGCATTAATACGAGTTAGGATGTAAATCCCTTGCTCAACAATAGCAGAGAATAACCCCCTTCATATAGATTCTGACGACCTATGAACCAAGGGTCAAGTGGGCTGTGCCACAAATTATCTGACAGCAACAGATGCCAAAGTCTTGGGAGGCAAAAAAAAAAAAAAAAACCAAAAACCTGAGGACTAGGAAATGCTCGGTTCATTTTCACAAAGGAAAAAAGCAATTGCAGCTATTCCTATAACTTCATGCGTCAGCCACTGACATAGCCACAAATTATAAGAAGCAAAACAAAGATTCCTTCTTGCCTGGCAGCAAACTTCCTTCTTCCTCCAAAAATACACAAAAGCAGCTCCAAAATAAATAGTCATCACAATTAATTACCTACCCAAACTGAGGGCTGTGCAATAAATCTTTAAAGTTTTCGAGGGTGCTTTCAGTGTAAGGGAATGTTTGGAGAGCCGAGCAGCAGAAACCACAAAGTATGTCAATTCTGAAAATAAATGGTGTTTTCATAACTCTGAGATAATCAGATTAGTTCTCCACTCCTTTGCCTCGAGTTTTATACCTGCCTAACTTCATTGATTTCAATAGGGGTTTAATCTATGCAACATCAGGTCTGTATCAGTCCTACATCAATTGTAAACTGATTTACACCAGTTGTAAGTTAGAGGAGGATCACACCCAGTGTAATAGTTCACAGGCCTTATGGTTTGTTCTGCCTTTGCAGTTTATTCTGAAATCCCATGTTATTACTTTTGGCTGTTGTAGGGTTTTTCTGCCACCCTGTTGCAGGGTTTTTCTGCTACAGGTGTGTGAGGTTCGGTGCACACATGGAAGAGGTACAGCCTCAGCCAAGGGACTGCAGAACCCTTCAGCTGTTATTTTCTAACCTCATTAAAGGCATTTTCTTTTTTTTTTCAACTGGACACTGCTTTTGCCCAGGTAGTGATGAAAGTCCCAAATCCTGCATAGATATTTGCACTTGTGGAATCTGTCTCTGAACACAGCACCTGACACAATGGGAAGCCCCATCAGAA